ATATATATATACGTAAATACATGCATACATATACATACACACACACACACATATATATATATTTATATATGTATATAATTTCGGCTATTCTACAGTACTACCTAGCTCAAACTAATAGTATTCTAAACCCAGGACCAACTATAGTCAAACTGAAATTCATTTGGTGAAAACTATCCGTGTTTTGATTGGCTCCTGTATACAAAAACACAGATTTCAAATTGTGGTGTCCATTAGACGACAGTCTGTTACTTGAAGTACCACTCGGGTTTAGTACGGAGTGCTGCGCCTCGGTGCTAAAACTCGTGGTATTTCAAAACTCAGGGCATTCATGGATCACAATCTGAATACTGTATATTTTACTATTTTATGTAGGTGGCTATAACTCTTTGCTGCGAAGTCGAGCTACTGTTGGTGAGACGTAGGCCAGAAAATAGCACTACCAACCAACCAATCACTTGCTTCATTCGTTGACGGCACACCGCAATGTTGACTTGGGTCATCGGTCCATAAGACGTTGTCGTAGTACTTTTACGAGACCTTGCCACTTACAGATGAATGAAGGACTGGGTCGGATCCTCTGTTCACATATCGTGCAACAGGGTAAAATCTTGCCTCTCTGCCTAAGTTTTGTGGATTAACATCAGAGCACACTCTTGGGTGCTTCTTGCTCACGAGCAATAGTAGTTGGGCCATAAGCACGAACAGTACAATATATATATATACTACCGGCAAATTGCAATTAATTATCGGCATAGAGTGGTTTTACAGTGGCGCTATCTCATAGAGTTGAGTGGCAACTCATCCCAGCACACCTAGGAGGCGCTTTTGATGGTGACTTTTCCCACCGACTAATCCTTCTTACGATTAAACAGTGTAAGACTAATTTGTTTATGCTTGCCCCGTCGAAGGCAGAATGTGCCTAGGAGTAGACGGAAAGCCATTCACCTGAAAGCTCTAACACCTTGCGACGTAGACTCAGCATACACATTGGAGTTATTGAACTTCATTTGGGATCGGCAGCATAACTCTCTGCCCGAGTTTGAATTGCGGCCGCCTTCTCTTTCTCTAGAAACCCCGCCGAATAGTTGACATAAGCGCTTTTGGTGAGGTGAAGCGGAATCTGTAGAAAAGAGCGTTCCTTGGAAATCAATTGGATGACGAAAGTGTTGTGGATAGCACCAAACTTTAGGTCTGAGAATTCTCTCACCGCATCCCACATTCCTCACTTATATAGATATACATATGCGCACATATACACACATACATACACACACACACACAAACACACACACATATATATATACATACATATACATTTATACACACACACACACACATATATATATATATATATATAGATCTAGATACGCAGATTGGCATAATCACTAGCCTATAGACGTATGAAGCCGATACTTAACACCAGGGATTCAAAGAACAGAAAGCTCACTTTCACTAAGGATTGGATCAAATGACGACCGCCGATGTGACAGTAGCGTTGTGAAGTGATATGATTGATGCAATGCACTAACCCACAAATCAGAGTACAAGCCAATGTATACAAAACAGAATACGACCTGTCAATGCGATCACAACAAGAGTTCGGGACGGATTCAACTGGTTAACATGTTTGCATTACATCCCACCCACCTGCTTGTAACTGAGGTGAATGTTATTTTTCATCGTGGCAAGCGTTGCAGTATCATACGTCAGGGTGTCTGTTGCATACACGTAGCCCGTCATGAAGGCATCGAAGCCCGCGCGATGACTATATCTGTATAATGTGCAAATAGTATCGGGGGTACATTATGCATCAGTGTGTACACTTTGTGAATGGGACGACTATCCACAGACATCTCATACTTTCATGCAGGCTGTCGCTTCACACCGTTAGCATCCATTAGAGCTTACGCTGACGAGGGCTCTCATCGGCAGTGAGTGAGAAATCGAATCGGGTGTCACAAATACGAGTCTTGGTTCACTCAAAACCCATCGAATCATACATGGCAATTTACTACCGAGCGTGTACGAGACGAGCACATGCATACGTGGAATACGTACATATCATAGATACGGGTGTCTCAATGTATGTTGCATATATATATATATATATATGTAATTTTGATTATGGAAACGTACCTTGCTTGAATTGACGATGAATCCTCAAATGGGGCTGAATGGGGATGTGCATTTCCCGTTGTTGCTACTACAGTGTTGTTGGCTTCAGCTGTTACGGATGGTTGCTGTAGTTGAGTGCGCAACGAAGAAGGCAGCATGAGTGCCACAGACGAAAACGCCACCAGAATTAGAATACATGGGTGGATCTAGATCCTATGTGTGTGTTCGGTTGCGACTGTGGTGAATGGGGCTTTTGCTGTGATCTCCCATTGGGCAGTGCTTGAATCGTCATCAACACCACCATGCAAGCAACTGGGCTACTATGCAACTACATTACATACGGCGTTGCGGTTGTAACTGAGCTATGCATAGAACAGTGCTTACAGTGATACCAACACGGGGTGTGTAGGCAAAAGCATATGTTTAAGTCTAGTACGTCTGTGCCATAAAGATGTCCATGCATATGCATGGCGGGAACAGCTGCATATCCTTACTCGGCACACTCAATACCTGTGCATACGCACAGTACCAACAACAGTACGACTATATCATAACCTGTCCTGAACGGCAGTATGACTACATCACAACCTGTCCTAAACAACAGTACGTCTCATCAAAACCTGTCCTAAACAATAGTCCGACTACATCACAACCTGTCCTAAACAACAGTACAACTACATCACAACCTGTCCTGACTCGGTATACCTTTGCTACGAGTTGTAAGCTAGCGCGCTTGTGCTTCAATTTAATTCGCTTCAGCTGTCGTTTGGACAACTGTTCGGTACGTCCCACTCCGTCACTCGATGCCACAGACAAGCCACCACTCGAACCCGCAATCACCCGCAGACCCACGGCACCCATATCCTGCATAGCAACGGAGGCATAGCAACGGATGAGTCATAATGATCATCACCAGCTCAGCAGCATGGATAAGTCTCAAGACTACGGCTAAGCCAATCAGCCTTAGGCAATAGTGCAGGACTGCCAGCTAGTGCGAGAGTTGCGTACAGGAGCATGTAGATTCACACAGCTTCGCATCTTCACACGAAGGATGCAGTCTTCAAAGCAGCAGAATACTTATTTGTCAAGGAATGTAAGCGATACAGGGTTGACTATCAGTCACAACAAGGGATTTGGGACAAGCGTATAGACCGGCGTCACGGTGTGCACATCGTCACTCACTAACACACAGCTCAAACTACCAATGTACGGGCGAAGGGGGGAGACTGACATACCCGTGGCAGAGTCTCTGCACACAACTGAAATAAAACACACACATCACCTGCGATTATAAACAATACTCTACACAGCTGTTCACACCCACCCACCCACCAGCAGATTTAGGACGTACTTACACACAGGAGCTCCCACACGCCTATGTAGATACACAACATCCACATACACCCCTGCAGATGCATATCATCCACACACACGACTGTCGCCACACACACACACACCTGCAGGTGAAGTATCAGATCGAGATCATGTGAATCCAGACACGCCGTGTGACCTGCACGGCAATGCCCGTGGTTGGCGTAGTCCTGGCACACACGCAATACCGTTGGTGTGCACACAGGCGCGTGTGCGTGTGCATGCTCCCCCGTCCCTTGCCCTGTGCCGGGTGGGGTGTGTGTCTTGCTGGCTTGTGTATTCGTAGTGTGCACATGCTCGTCAGACACATGCGGGTGCTTGCGCGATCGATTCCTGCTTGACTTTGCCTCGGGGGTGGTTGTGTGCTTGGTGTGGTTCTCTGATGCCTCGTTGTTCGTGTTCGTGGTAGTTGTCACACACATGTCTGTACCCCTCGTTGTGTCTACCTCCCCTGCCGTAAGAGTGTTGCCTGGGTCTACTGCACTCCTCTTTAATTGTCCCACAAGGTGTGCGGCCTGAGCTGAGCGATCTCTGGGCGCGAAGTGGGCAACGGATGTCACGGGCTCTAGCTCACCCGTAGTCCCTGTCTCCACCATCACACACACACTACTCTGTGAAGGTATGTGCAAGACGCAAAGAGTGTGACTACGCTTGTTATATCCGGAAACGTGTGACAATCAATAGTTATATCTCAGTCACTCTCCGAGCGCACATGCATGGATATAGACACGCACAACGATACACACAAGCATACACACACCTCACATTTAAACAACGCACTAAACGCACAAGCATATACACACCTCATATCACAGAGAAACCCACACATGCAAGCAGGCACCCACTCTACACCAGAGTGACAATGCACGCAAACACGCACTTAAACATACCACACCACAGACCACATGCCTAAACACACCCCACACGGGCACACACACTTGCACATGCAACACACGCGCACACACACTTGCACATGCAACACACGCGCACACACACTTGCACATACAACAACACACGCTCGGCCCATCACCATCTCGTGCAGCAAGCCCATACATTAAACAGCCCTTGGAGAATACAACGACCATGCACAAGGTAACTGCACAGCACTAACAGAAGGTAAGAACCATACATAAACACACGTACACAGCGCATACGAAAGGGAAAACCAAAGCGAAGGACCAACTAGTCACGACACAGCCCATACATTAAACAGCCCATGGAGAATACAACGACCAAGCACAAGGTAACTGCACAGCACTATCAGAAGGCAGAACCACAGACAAAACACACGTACACAGCCCACACGAAAGGGAAAACCAAAGCGAAGGACCAGCTAGTCACGACACAGCCCATACATTAAACAGCCCATGGAAAATACAACGACCAAGCACAAGGT